GTTGCGTGGAGGCGCCAGCTGCTCAGCGCACCATGACGTAATGGCGCGGAGAGCGATGCAGGAGCCGGCGCGGGCGCCCGCAGCCACGGAGCGGAGGGCGGAGCGCGCGCAATCACTTGCTGTGTGACGTCGCTGCGCTGTTGCTACATACGCTCCTCTCCGCTCCTCGCGCCGTTACTAGGGGAGAAGAGGAGGCGCACCGTGGACGGTGGATTCAGGGTCGCTTATAAAAGTGCATTCGCACTTAATAGAGGTTGACCCATGGTAAACCTGTGGAGGTGGCGTGGCGTGCGCAGCCACGGCGTGGAGGCGCCAGCTGCTCACCGCACCATGACGTCATGGCGCGGAGAGCGATGCGGGAGCCGGCGCGGGCGTGCGCAGCCACGGAGCGGAAGGCGGAGCGCGTGCAATCACGTGGTGTGTGACGTCGCTGCGCCGTTGCTACAGACGCTCCTCTCCGCTCCTCGCGCCGTTACTTGGGGACAGGAGGAGGCGCACCGTGGACGGTGGATTCAGGGTCGCTTATAAAGTGCATTCGCACTTAAAAGAGGTTGACCCAAGGTAAACCTGTGACGTTGGGCCAAGCGCATTTGCCAACCTACTGCCAACCTGAACGAATGGCGTGTGCTGATGGTAAGTCTACAACATCGGGTCAAGTATGGTGGCCGACCTACTGCCAACCTGGCCGAGGGGTGTTGAAAAATGGTAAACCTGCGACGTCGGGCCAAGCACACTGGTGGACCTACTGCCGGACTAGTCAATGACCACTCACGGGCCGACCACTTTTTTTGTTTGTTTGCCGACTGTTTTGGTTTGCTGAACGGTTGCCGACCCTTAACCGCGACCGTCGTCCACCTACTATGTCCCCTTGGGAACGCCTTCCTTTAGTAATAGTCGAACGAATCTTGTGGTTGACTCAACTCCTTCGAAGTATTCGTCTCACAACTTGTCGCTGATGACTTCTTTAACTTTATCGTACTCCCGGAAAGCACGCCGTACAGTCTCTGCGTTGACGTCAAAGGCTACCAAAGGCAACTTGAGATGATCCTCTTGCCTCTCTGGGTCGACGTCGAGGCAGGACCGGTGTTTCACGGAGAGTAGGCCAGCGTTTTCCAGAAGTGTCTTCTTGGTCTCATCTGCCTTCATTTTAAGAAGCCACACTTCCGACATCTGATACGCTCCTATGCCGCTCACCTCTTGAATGATGGATGCCTAGTTCCTTGAGCTGCTTTCGGAAGCCAATGCTGTACGGACACCCTCCAATGTCGCAGTGCTGAACCAACGCGCGTCTGAGTCCTACTCCGGAAGGCAATGGTGCCAGAATTAAACGGTAGTCCTAAAGAAGTGATGTGCACGAGAAACCGGGGCCAGCGTCGGCCGCTTTCACAGCTCTTGACGAGCCTGCCATCCTTCGTCCACACGCGTCGGTGACCAGAACGAAAATGAGCCACCGAAGGGTACCTCCTCCGACACTTAAACGGCAAGCTATTTATATCTACCATTTACTGCTATTGGCGGGCATCTCTAGGAAGGGGGGGGGGGGGGCTATTGTGTTTTTAGCATTATTAGCAAGATGGCGCAGTGATCGTCGCGCGGCTAAAGCCCAACATCTAGGGGCTCTACGCGCGGCTGCTCTCATCTCCACGAGCACTTTTTGTCCGCGTAGAGAATAAGGGGGTGTACGCTCGTTCACGTGCCTCCATTGTGCAGTGGGGGGGGGGGGGGGGGATCGCACGTCTTGGCTATTCTCAGGGTTTCGCCGGAACGATTCTGTTCTAGTTACTGGGCGCCTAAAGGTCATTGCAATCGTTGCACAGCTTACATTTGCAAAAAAGGGCGCGCTTTTCAGACACAGCGAAGTAACTGAGACGCTTATTCGCGTTCATCTGTGCCTTTGAGTACGTTTCGTGCGTCATTTGTGCGTGAGAAACGCGGGGCACGTTTCGATCTGCTTGCTGTTCTGCGCGTGACCTTCCGATTTGTTGCTATCGTGCTCATTGCTTCGCCTTTGCGGCAAAGCGGCGACTTTTTATTGAATGCGAAGCATTTCTTAGCAAACTTCGGCGAATTTGAGAGTATCTATCTATCTATCTATCTATCTATCTATCTATCTATCTATCTATCTATCTATCTATCTATCTATCTATCTATCTATCTATCTATCTATCTATCTATCTATCTATCTATCTATCTATCTATCTATCTATCTATCTATCTATCTATCTATCTATCTATCTATCTATCTATCTATCTATCTATCTATCTATCTATCTATCTATCTATCTATCTATCTAGCCGTCCACGACTTTTAGCTCTCTTGGCCGTTTCGATAATGGTATCGATACTAAACTTGCTATGCATAACATGACTGTATGAAAAACATATTTAACTACTCATAACATGAAATTCATGACATGGATGTCATCAATGTCATGATTTACATTGCATAGTCCTGCAGCTCTTGCAGTGTTTCCGTTTACATGACCTGTTGGGAAACTGGTATGGTATGACATAATTTCATGGCGAACACAAGCGACAGACCCTAACATGAAAATCATGAGATGTGTGTCATGTAACAACATCACTACATGCCACGCTCATGATGCACTCACGGTCGTTTCGCTAGCTTCACATATATCAAATTTGGTATTGCGGTAAGTGAATGGATGACGAAGGTATGTGACTGGTGCAAATATGAAAATCATGAGATGCGTGTCATGTAACAAAATTTCTACAGGCCACGCCCATGATGCGCTGGCGGCCGTTTCTCTAGCTTCACATATAGCAAATTTGGTATTACGGGATGTGGATGGACGACGAAGGTATGATACTGGTGCAAACATGATAAACATGAGATGCGTGTCATGTAACAACATGACTGTATGCAACGCTCATGATGTGCTCACGGCCGGTTCGATAGATTCCCATGTACCAAATTCGGTATTACGTGACGCGAACGGACGACATAGATGAATGACACATACAGACATGATAATCAGGACCTGCGTGTCATGTGACAACATGACTACATGCCACACTCATAATGCGCTCAAGGACGTTTCGCTGGCTTCACATATGCCAAATTTGGTATTACGTGACGTCAATGGATGATGAAAGTACGTGACTGGTGCAAACATGATAATCATGAGATGCGTGTTATGGGAGAACATGACCACATGCCACAGTTAATGCGCCAATACATTTCGACGTGACGCGGTATGTATGCTCACCGGCGTTCATTTCGGGTCACGCCGGCGTTGCCACGCCAGGACCGGTCCTCCCATATACTCGCCGGCGCACGCTGCGTTGCTTTGACGCATGCGCGTTTCAGCGCGTCCGGCGTCCCTCCGTCACGAAAAGGAGACGCAGTATTGTCTGGGTAACGCTTCGGCCCGAAAACAGCATGTCGCAATTCGCACTGGTTGCCGTCGGGCCGCGCCGACGGACGCTGGGCGCCTGGCGTTAGACTATAGAGTGCTCGAGTTTTGCTAACGTAGCGTTGCTGTGCCCAGTGTGCGCGCGCGTCGACGCTACAATGTGGTATATTGGAGCCTTTATGATGCGCTCGCGGCCGTTTCGCTTGCTCCACATATACCAAATTTGGTGTTACGTGACGTCAATATATGGCAAAAGTGTATGAGTGGTGCAAACATGATAATCCTGAGATCCATGTCATGTAAGACCATGACAACATATCACGCTCATAGCGTGCTCGCGGCCGTTTCGCTAGCTTCACATACACTAAATTTGGTATCACGTGACTTGAATAGATGACGAAGGTAAACGACACATCCAAACATGATAATCATCACACGAAGTCATGTACGCATCATTTATCTCGTAACGTTGGGCTGATTTTATAGTGGCATATCAATCTTTCTCATTTGTTCTTCGCACATCATCGATTCTCACTGTACGTGGGATCTGCCAATTTTTTTCTTATCTTGTCACCGACTATAGTCTATTTGCCCTCCATGTCCCTTAACCCCAGTGGTTTAAAAAATTGACTCTGTGCCGTCACCCTGAACTATAGGGTGAAGCCCTTCACCGAACATTATCAAGTGTTCAGCAGTCGCCCCCTCTTCTCCACACGCTTTGCATACCGTGTCTACGCCTTCGTATTTGACCCTATAAATCTTGGTTCGCAATACTCTTGTCCCGGCCTCAAACAGTGGAGAAGTACCCCGAAAATTATCATAGATCCTTTTCTTGGTAATTTCTTGCTTAAATGTTCGATAGGTCTGAGAGGCCGACTTCTTAATCATGCCAATTTTCACATGTCGGTCTCTGTTTCTTTCACCTTCTTAACAGATAGTTCTTTTTGGTTTGGCCTGTTTTCTAAGTTTTTACCCGTCAATTTTCTGATTCGCTTCCTCGTATCAACATATTCCTCATGTACAAATAGCTGAACACCTTCTCAGTCAAAATCAAAAGCTCCTCCCCTACTTCTCTCAACTGGTGCTCAAATTTTATCTTACTGCTAGCTTCCCTGCCCTCGAATGATGTCCATTCCATATCACGCTGTACTCCCTGATTTAGTGTATTCCCGTGAGCTCCTCAAGGAAGCCTACCTATTCCACGTTGCTTAATTTCTAATTTTGCTTGAACTTCTGATCTCCTGCACAAGACCGCATTGCCCAACGTTAGATTAGGAACCATGACCCCTTTTCATATTCCTCTCACAACATCATATTGCCCCACGGAGGACTCCGTGTATTGCCCAGTGCCCTATTTTTCAATAATAAACCCGTGTGGTGCCACCTGGCATCAGGAAACGCAACTGAACCTTTCTCCGGCCAAGTTTGGCGGCTAAAATTTGTTGGTGCAACGCTGAAACAACAACAAAAAGGCAGACTGTGATCTCGCCCGTTGCAGTGGACAAAACCACTGTGTAGTTTAGTTTATATACCCAGATCTGAGGCATCTCTTTTGAGTACAATTGTTTGTTCTATCGTCGCCGCTGGGAGCAGCAGCCTACGTCCGGTATTGGTATGATGTCAAACGCAGTTTGTGCGAGCGCGAGCAACATCCTCTTCGCCCTCTCTCGTTCTAGCGCGCCACAGGTTTCGAAGCATATGGTCGCTCCCGCGACGCTTTCGGGCTAGCCGTGCCACCTGTTCCGTCTCACCGGTCCCTCGTACAAACCTCACGCAACCGTTCGTATCGATCTTGGAACGCTGGCTTGCATCAAGCTGAGCGTTGTGCGGTCGAGAGCGGCGTCGTCGTACCACAGTGCTGAATGTCCAAGGTTTCGGCTTGCAGTGCGGCAGTGTGGACGGGCGAAATCCCGCGACAGCTGACATAGCCGCCGATGTCAAATAGGAGAGTGATTGCGAACACTTGCGGCGGCGGTGACTGTGAATATGTACTACTTCAAGACGCGACAATGTGGGCATTGGTTTTAATTACTATTAGTTCGACGTATCGTTTTACCATAACGTAATTCAAACCATAACGTAATAAGTGCGCGCGTCAGCGCAGTTGTACTTTGAGAAAATATCGCCAACGTGTGATACAATGCATGAACAAAAAAGTTTGTCGTTAAATACAACAGTTCACGCAAATTATGAGTCCGTTAAGTTCTAAGTCGAGATTAAACGTAACTCAAAAAGTTATTTTTGCAGCCGCAATATGTTCTCTCTGGCCTTGCATATTGCCGGCTTTTACAGCTGTTAGCCGGTCGTTAGCAGCTTGCGCTGTCGTGGCATTCGATCCGAACAAGCCGTATCGTCCAATAGTATATGCGAACCAGTCTCGCGCGCACACAGGCCTCCAGCATCACATTTAATAGTTTAATCCTAATCGCGGTTTGCCCACGTTCAAATGACATATTCCTGTCCATGCGTGTCACTCGTCAGTTTAGCAAGCGCTGACCTCTGAAAGCAAAGGATAATGAAACCATTCACTGTTTTTGTTTTAGACTGTATGGGCAGTAGTTTAGCCTTTTTCATGTATATTGGTAGTTTTCAATTTACTAAACCTTTTAGCTGCTGCAGGTGTTTGCATAGGGTCACAGCCATTAACTTGTTGAAGTTATCGTTCATGCTTGCCAAATGGGAGGCCGAGCTAGAAAATTATGCATATCGCACGCACTCTGTTTTGCACTAACAGATGGAAACTAGAAACTTCAGGGCTACTTTTGTTTGCAATATCTTTAGTTCGTGTCTTACTCTCGTTACACTTGCATTGCAGCCAACATTGCCTTTAGCAGCCGGATTCGTAGCAATACAACGCAATATTGTCTCAAAACAATTGCTCAAATCCGTCATTACAGTAGAAAAATTGATGCTGTGTTTCAATCTGTGAGCGCTTGAGGTGTTTCAAAAGGGAACATTTGCACTCAATGCAGGAAGATGGAAGCATATGATCATGGTGGAAATGTAAACCAGGACCTACGAGGGTTCACCCTCGGCTATGGGCTGGCCCAGGTTTTGGGGCTGAGCTGTGTCCTCATGGTGGTTGTGTGGACAAGCCACTACTTTGGTGGCTTCTCTGGCCCCAGCAATCCCAAGACTGAATTCAACTACCACCCAGTCTTCATGGTTCTAGGCATGGTTTTTCTTTACGGAAATGGTGAGCACTTGCAGGGCCAGCATGGGTACAATTGTCCTGAATAGTGTAGCCTACCTTCCCATATTTTTTACCAAATATAAATGAATCCAAATTTTTGTCATGACTATTGTCACATATAATGGGCTCTATTTCTTATACTGGCTTCGGGAATTTCATATTAGACAATAGCAAAGAGCTACAGCTTGTTTGTACACACGAAAACAACAGCTGCACCTCTTTTTGTCACCTTCAAAAAAGCCATGCAGGAAGTCAAGTAATGCACCATGACAACTTGCATGACCACGCAATTGTTTTTTTGTGTGTGAATTATTCAAGGTACTTGAACATAAATATTGTTACGGTATCTATTTGTGCGAAATAAAGACGAGAGTAGACGGACAAGTGACATTCAGTGCGTAAGCTCGAGGATCAATCTTTTGAAGGTGTTCGAAGAATCGGGTTGGGGCTGAAGTTTACTTGTGAGGTTTCCGGCAATGGTTGCATACACTTCTTAGATTTGAGCATATCTTTTGGTGGAAGCCACGTATGTTGGATGTACACCCCCCGTAGTGTCTAACCTATCATCGACTTCCATTAGGCTTTCCCTAAAATAGTAAAAAACGGTGTGTGATGTCCTGTCTGAGAGCGTCACACAAAATGTCGTGCACACATCGCATTCATGAGAGTTTAGCATGGAGAGGCTCCGGCAGTCTAGTTTCCCGGAGTGCCAATTAGGGATCTTAAGCGAAAGGATCTTAAAAAAGATGAAGTTGGAAGCGCGGGGTGTAAGTCAAGTGAAACGGAAGAAGGTGCACCTTTTTTAAGCATTTCGTATGTTCACAGGGGTTCCCATAAGTCGAAAAAAGTGTGCTTTTTCCTGTTGCAGACAAGCTTTGGGGATCTGTGCGGCTGTGGTAAAATGTATCAGGACAGAGAAAGCGGGACTACAGGTGTGACATCAAGCATTGTGATAAATTGGTTGAGTGTGGTAAAATAGGTAGTAATATGATATACCGTTATCTTCTGGAAAATGCTATGTCGAGCAGACGGGTCGGTGTTTGAACAATAGATTATTAGTTCATATGAGGCTTGATTGAGAGGGGAACCTTGTTCTAATACTTTTTTGCATTGCAGGGAGTGCGGCTGTGCACCCTTGCTATCAGAAACTGAGGTGCTCTCAAGACTAAAGGGGTAGGTTCGCGAGAAATTGAGGAAGGGTGTTTCATTGACAAATCGGGCGAGACATGCGTAGTGAGGCCCTCTGTCGCATTGCGTGCCATGCACTCACACACGAGCACACTAAAAAAAAAAAAAAACAAATGCGTGGTCATGCAAGTTCTAACGGTGGGTAACTTCCTAAAACTGCAGTAGCTCAAATCTCTCGCTTATCGGTGAAGTCTGGACGTGGCCCTGCGACACTCTTGTGACAGCCTCATTTAGCACCGAAATGCGTGTAGGAATCATCGCTGAGATAAGCGCAACAATAATGATGCAAATTAGTGCTCGAAAAGTGAAGTTATGAGTTCTCAAAGTTCAAAACTGAGTACACAACAAGAAATGTTTCCCTTCACATTTCGCTCACCTATTGACGTCTTAGAGCACTTCCGACCGCGTGGGCGTCTCATAAAGACGCACTGGAAATGTCACCTCATGGTGGCCTTTACATAGTACCTCGCTACCACTCTTTTTGACGGCATCTTTAGCATGCTTACAATGAACCACATGCGTCAGGTAGCAGATGCTCTCACGGTCACAGTGTACATACTCTTTATGCGGGAACACTTATCAGCTTGCGTTCAAGACACAATCTACGGTAACGCTGGCATTTGTGGCATGTTGCATTTTTGGCTAGCTAAAAACGCGACATACGTTTTCACTTTTATTTGCTGGCGTACCATAGCCACCGCGTTCGCTGACTATAGAAATAAGTGTCGGGTTCATTGTTTTGAAAATACATGACTTAGCAACAAATTATTTCTTTCTAAGAAAGTATGAAACAGGTTTTACTGTTTTAGCATTCGCTCGCATGGCCTAGCTGCGACCATATATATATATATTGCGCGCTACTTGTTGTGTCAAGCCAATCAAAAACGAATGGTCTTCGTCTTCATATCACATGATGTGACGTCACTTCCCATAACAAAAATAGCTTATGTGTGCCGCCGTAGTATGAAATCAAGGTAGGTTGCCTTGTAAATTAAAATAATAACAGCTTTGATTTCGGCATTGCCGCTTGTGCAAAAATATCGGCGCATATCACAGTACTAGGAGAACTGATGAAAAAGACATACTCAAATTGTGTCACAGGGCCCCTTTAAACAAAGATGGTTGAAACTGATGCGAGAATGGGACTGCCTGTTGTCTGCTATAAACATTGCTGCTAGCACAGTTGCACTGCAGCCTGTCTGTGAAGGCATAAAGGTACTGTCCACAGTAGTGACGCGCCATCCGCTAACCCTTTTTGATTTGGTGCATCAAAGCACAGCGCCACACTTTTGCGCAGTTGACAATAGGGAGTCGTTACATAGGTAGCCAATGCTATTGTTAAAAAGGACTTGCTATTGACATAGTAATCTGTCTGTGCATTTGTAAAGCTCTTCCTTTAGCTGTGTAATGGCTTCTGTGCCCCAGAATTTGAGAAGTTGAGCTGACACATGCATCTCTGTCATTTCACCACATCTTGCACAGTGGAAGAACCTTGAAGCCTTGATACACCAGTGCTTGCTTCAAAATGAAACTTATAGGATTAATTTCTTTTCGAGCTTGCAGATGATGTAGGCAAATCACAGTTACGTTTGTTCATTCTCAAAATGCAGTGGTAACACTTCTGCAAAATTACAGCCATTGAACGAAAGAGGTTTACCCATTATAGTAGAAACCATGAAGTGGTGTTCTGCCCAAATAAAGTCGCGCTTTAGTGCAGTACATGGACAAGAAGTGATGACATTGTAAAAGCACCCGACCTGTCAAACTGTGTCCCATTGGCTGATGGCACTTTGTGCGACTGGGGATGAATTCTAGGCTTCAGGAACCGTGTGATTGCATGTTGCACATTCCAATTGCTACCAGAATTTGTGGCAGTTCAGAATAAAAGGTGCGGAGCTGCAGTGCGACACTAAACCCGAATCCAAGTTTTTGGGAAAGGAAGTGCGAGTTTAAATTTGATGAGAAGGCACTGATGCGAATACGTGCAATCTTATCCCGCAAGTTCTAGCAGACTGGTTGGTAGTAAAAAATAACCTGTGTCGCTCTGATGAGAGCAATGTATTTTGACCCAGGTATCCTGGTGTACCGTGCGCTGAGGAGTGAGCGCAAGTCGCGCCTCAAGCTGCTGCATGGGGCCCTGCACGCCCTGGCCTTCTTGTCTTCCGTAGTAGCCCTCAAGACTGTGTTTGACTCGCACAACTTTGCCAGTCCACCAATTCCCAACCTCTACTCGCTGCACAGCTGGATGGGGCTGCTCACTGTCATCCTGTTCTCTGCACAGGTCAGAAAAAGTCCCTGGTTATCTTTGAAAATGAACCGATTCTTTCAACATTAAAAAGATTCTAACTGAGGCTTATGCAATTACAAAATGTTTCAAGTTTGAGAGATTTTACAAAAGGTAAACAACTTTTTTTGGTGCCTCTATGATAATTATACTTTTAGCCGTGTTAATGAAAATAAAATAGTGAGATGTCTGAGCTAGTTGAATCGAGGAACAAAAAGAACAAGCATTATATATTTTTGTGTGTCTTGTAATCCATTTCTTTTGAAATGTCTAGTGTATGCTCTGTTGTATTGTAAATGCACAGAGAAAATGTACTTAGTTCCTTTTATATAGTGCTATTTTCAGTTATGGTGGCAGTCATTGAAAGGTTGCAGGATGTCAAATATGTGAAAGCATTTGCCCACTAACTCAATGATCAGTCACAGCATATGTACATATGTAGTAGTTTTCTGGGTTCACGTGTAGTTATTGGTCCCTCTTAATGATCCACTACTAAGAGTGCAATGCAGGGGCAAATGAATATCTGTCATATTGAGTAATATGACCAATATAGAGCACGATTCAAAACGTGCACAAAGCCCACCAATTTCCAGTGCTTGCAGAGCTGCTAAAGGGCTCCCAATGTGGCCACACTAAACAGTGATGCGAGTTTCACCGGACGTTTCGTCTGCATGTGTAGCCATATGTTTTTGTCACCCCCGTTTTCGTCACCACTGTCATCAATGTCTAAGGAAGAAAACACCCAAGGAGGAATTGCTGCTATTCGGGAATCTTCTTAGGGGCGAAGCTCCTTAGACTGTGGATCAGTCTCTTCGTTGTAGTAGCCACCCCTTACTTCTCACGATGTTAAGGAAATGGCAGCTGCTGCTGTTGTAGTACGAGAAATGATCACTTAGATGGCGCGGAGGCCTGGCATAGGTTCGATAGGATGGCGGATGGAAGCTTCGCCCCACTCATCATTATTTCGCTCCAAGGATATGCTGTGAATTTTTTTTTTTCGCTTTGATCCTATGCGAAGCAGCGATTCTGATATTGACACTGGGTCGAGCAACACTGAGGAAGGCACCTGGAGGTGCTGCTTGGGCTTCAAGGAGCAAAGAAGACATTGGCTGACTGATAAGAACACAGAATAGGAAGGAACAGGGGCTCCTATCTTGTCCACAGAAATAACCAGTCTTGGGGCTAACAACAACGAATGATTTATTTAGTGCAAATGATTGATTGTCTTTAAGGCGAAAACTCTGCTTAGCAGTTCATTTGCTGTATTCTTCTGGTTCACCAGAATCGCCTTTCACCACCCCCCACACCTGTTTTGTCAACGCTCTACCTGTCTCATCCCCATCCAGGCATCTGTGCTGACTTGTCGTAAGGCCAGCATTCAATGCATTGCCAAGACGTGCACTTTAACCTGGAAGCTTTGTAAACGACCATTAACTTTTTCCCACAAATGCATTCCTTCTTGCTGTTATGGAAGTGGCACTCGTGTAAGTCGCGCGGAACTGCTTCACGACATGCTGGCATGTACTGCTGCTCAGATTGTTGCTCTGAATGATCGCACACTGATGAGAATACGGCATATCAGCTGAAGCAGCGCGGTGAAGATGCAGATATTTGTGAACCGACACAGACAACCAAAGCGAAGCTGTTGCCAGGTGTTGCTGCCTTTCAGCATCACGATGACAATGCTGAGATCATTGGTGTCATCGTTACTAGCGTATTGTCACCTAGCACCGGGGGCAGGGCCTGCTCAATGCACCGTAGTTTTGCAGATGCTGCAGGATGTTGAATGTATAATGAGCCTATCGTATGCTGTTTGCCTTCCAAATAAAATAACTTCTATGTAACCGACATGATTCATAGTTTACTTAAGAAACCTACGATAACAAACTGTCAAGTGAAGGCCACAATTCAAGCTTGAAATGTTATGTCACTGTTCTTTTAGAACATACAGTCATCTCTGATTTCAATCAATCTTTTTAAGGATTATCTGCCTTTGTCGGTTATCTGCACAGCTCTATGTTTTCAGATAAATCTGAAAAAAGTCCACCAAACACTTCTCGGTAAAATTTTTGACAAGTCTGATTTATCCGACAAGCTCAGATTTTAATAGGGTATTTTCGAAGTTCAAAGGGCATTTTCAAAGCTCATGATCATTAATCGAAAAAAGTACATTTCTGTTAGTAGCATAAATCTTGTATTCTTGCTTATTTACAACAGGCTTTAAGATTGTAAGCTTAAATGTTCAACAAAGTAGGGGTTTTCGGTGCAAGTATTTGTGCTTATGTGTATATGTGTTTGCACGTTCAAAGCTACCAGACATAATACACTTAGTGTGTTCACATGTTTTCATGTTCCAATTACATTTCATCTAAGATTTTGAAGTAGTGAGTGTAATATAATAACAAGAGGTCCTTCATTCTTCATCCAGAGGATGATGAAGGCTGAGAGAAAAAAATCATGAAGGAGCTTAGCTAGCTCCTGTGCTTGATCTGGAGTACACTTTGGCACGTTTACAGTAGTGCACATTCAACAAATGAGGGACACTCGAGAGGACTTGGTTTAGAACTGCACTCTGAAAACTCTGATGCCATATGTTTCACTATCATAAGTTCATTATTAGCGGGGAAATTCAAGGCGGTAGTTTCATTTTTCAATTTCCTGCCAAAATCTCCACGTATGACATAAGAAATTTCAAGATGTGTTTTTGATATTTTTGCGGCATTGGCTTGATAAAATCTTCTGAAACTTTGTATGCTAAGTCTATGGCACCCACAGATTACTGCGTACTTCATATTTATCGATTGGAAGCCACGTAAGACCCAGTAGATGGCTTCAAAATTTCTCACGTCACGGTGTTTGGTGCAGGAATCTCAAGGTGGCTGCATTATTTATTGCATATTTTCTTGCTTACTAAGCACCAGGTCGCAATAATAGGGGTGTTTTCGGTATTGTGAAATTGTGCTTACGTAATACATGAAAAGTTGTTTTGCTCTTTAGTGTCTTTTTAGTGCAATAAATGACCAGGAAGTGAGAAAAACAAAAGAAACAATGCAGAAACAGGAATATCAACAATAGAACAGCTAATTTTCATTGGAACTAAAATTAAAAAGACATTATAACTATTTAGGATGTGAAATTAAACATGAAATTTAGAAGAATATGAGATTCATAATAAATGCTCAATTCGCTTAAAAAATTAACTTTCAAAAGCATCCTTCCAAATTTCAGAAGAAATAACGTCCGAAAGCAGGAGAGCCGCAGTTATGGAATATATTCACTAAAGCAGCTTATTGCCTCATAAATTCGTTGTCGCAAAAAGATTTAGTACGAGGGGAGTTACAAAAATTTGCCGCATGTTGAAATTGCTTTCTCTTTTTTCTAATCCCAATGTTAGCACTGGAAGCAAAGTTGAGAGGCTGCATCACACGTGGCTCGTGACCTTGAGTACTTTTTGTCTTCAAATGTGCACCTTTTTAGTGCGATTGCACGCACATGCATGGACACATCGTGGCCTCCTGTGGCAGCCCGAGTAACTCCCGAGCGTGCCTCGCTCAAATCAGCCAATGGTATGACACTCTGGCCAATATCGCAATCACCTTTGAGTATATAACATGATCTAAAGAGAGAAGAGAAAGTGATGTTTAACAGGCTTCGAGAATTTATTGCAAATTGCAAGCCACACGCTGCGCTATAATACTTGGCTCACTTGTTCTGGGAGCCTCGACTACCGATCGGCAGCATTCTGTGAACATGCTGAAAAATGTTGCGGGGCCCCTTTAAACTAAGAAGCATGCATACGTGACCCAGAAAGTACAGGGGAGCGTCAGTAAGAAATTCGGACATAACTAGCTCTAACTACAGTAGCTAACTGGACTCAGCCTTTTCCCATTGAACATCATTTCACGTGTTCCTGTTGTGGTGGCCACATTTAAATGAAAATGAAAACAAATGCTCACTTGTACTCGCCCTATGTAACCAAAAAAGTCTATGTACTAGTATAAACCGCAGCTGTAGTATAGAAGTGTAGGGTAGGGAAGTCTTCTATTTACAAACATGAATGAAATCAATTTGTTCTTGCAATACTACATATTATACGGGTCTTGTATTATGCCTAGTGCATGTAAAAGACTTTGCCTACATGAGAAACCCTCTTACTGGAGGTTTTGGATGTCTTGAAATGTCTTGAAAAATATCCTTGGCTATAAAATGTCATGGCAGAAAAGCATCATATTTTGCAATAGTTGCTACATCATCATCATCAGGCTAACGTACGTCCACTGCAGGACAAAGGCCTCTCCAATGTTTCGCCAGTTAACCCGGTCCTGTGCTTGCTGCTGCCAATTTCTACACGCAAACTTTTTAATCTCATCTGCCCACCTAACCGTCTGTCTCCCCCTAACCCTATTGCCTTCTCTGGGAATCCAGTTAGTTACCCTTAATGACCAGCGGTTATCCTGTCTACGCGCTGCATGCCCGGCCCATTTCCTCTTCTTGATTTCGACTATGATATCCTAAAACCCCCGTTTGTTCCCTAGTCCACACTGCTCTTTATTGTCTCCTAAGGCTACACCTACCATTTTTCTTTCCGTTGCTCGCTGCATCGTCCTCAATTTAAGCTGAACCCTCTTTGTAAGTCTCCAGGTTTCTGCTCCGTAGCTAGGTACCAGCAGATACAGCTGTTATATACCTTCCTCTTGAGGGATAGTGGCAATCTACCTGTTATAATTTGAGAGTGCTTGCCAAATGTGCTCGAACCCATTCTTATTTTCTAGTTACTTCAGTCTCGTGGTTCGGCTCCTGCGGTTATTACCTGTCCTAAGTAGACATAGTCTTTTACAACTTCAAGTGCACTATTACGTATCTCGAAGCCAAGCTCTCTTCCGACATTGTTGTAAATTACTTTCGTTTTCTGCAGATTAATTTTAAGACCCACCTTTCTGGTCTCTTTGTCTAACTCCGCAGTCATGAGTTGCAATTCGTCTTCCGAGTTACTCAGC